CAAATTTAGTATCTTGTCTCTGTCTGTGGTTTTGGTCAATCTGACCATGATGTGCTTTGGGGAGGATCTTCTTGGGTTGATTTTATGTGGGGCTCTTTATATTTCTTGGGTCAAGATATTTGAGTGCCTCTCTAGGTTTGGAAAGTTTTCTTCCAGGATTTCACAGAATAGATTATCATTGCCCTTATGAGTCTCTTCACCTTTGGGGATACCAATTACCCAGATGTTTGGACGTTTGATGGTATCTAGTATTTCTTGTACATTATTCTAATTTTGGGGGGCAATTTTCTCAGTCTTCATGGTGGATTTTTCTCCCCGCCGTGCCACCTCCTCACTGGCGACGCGCGGCTCCGCCGAGACCCGGCCTCTGAGGCTGCTCGACAGGAGCGCGGGACCACCCCCGGCGCGCGGCGAGGCTGCTGGCGGCGGAGCAGGGGCGCCTTCCCCTCAGCCACATTCTGAGTGCCAGGAAAAGGGGAGAGACCACGTGTCGCCTGTCTCACCAAACTGAAAATCGAAAATGATGCTCCAGCGGGAAGGGTTAAAGTCATTTGGTGGAAAGATTGGTATTTTTTTTTTTAAATCTGCCTCACACGAGAAAGGACTTATAAATGTTCTTTTAAAAATCGCCTAGCTGAGGAGGCGTGGGTGCAGTTCTGACCCCAGGGTAAATGTTTTTAGGTAAGGTCTTACCATTTCGATTTTCTGTATGTGCATACTGTCATTTAACAGACACTTCCCAAAGCTGAACTTGAGACTCCTTGAAGCTGCAACGTCAGGCAGTTATAATGCATCCATCATTTAAAGGCTTTGATGTGTCCTATTGACAAACTAATAATGCCCAAGATAGCATCATTGGCATGGCTTTTTTTTTTCTATACTCCATAGAATTCATTTTTTTTCATCTGTCTGGTTTTCAATATGGTTACAGAACAGTTTCCTTTTGACAATGGCACTAAATGACTAAAATATACTTGGTTCAAGGTTTTTGTTGTTGTAATATACTAAGTTCACATCAGTCTGAGAAGTAAAACAGTAACCTCTTTTCCTTTAGTCTTTCTGTTTCCTTTTGTTTCCTTTAGGGCAGATTTAAAAGGTATAAAAGAGCCAAACGTTGAATGAACAGGTTTCTGATAATGAAAGTATGAGATGGCAGCTGAAAAAGACCTCAGTATATGGCTAGTTTCACACGTTTAAATGTTTAGATTTTAAAAAATGAGGCCTAGAAGCATCTGATGACTTGATTAAGTCACTCAAACCTATGCTGAGACTACTTGATATGGTAGTCTTGTCTCGGTGATTTTTTTTTTCTCCAGTGTACAAGAACTCAACAAAGCAAACACACACTTTTTTTTTTTAATAGATATTTTTTACTATAGGGTGCATGCACTTGCCAGAAAGAGAGAGAGAGAGAGAGACAGAAAGCGAGAAATCACTCCCCCCACAGGGGGGATGGCCACGTTGCAATTTCTTCTCCTCCATTCTCCCCTCGGATCTTGGGCACGCACGCACATGTATCCGGTGTGAGTTTAAGCCACTGGGTCCAGAACTTGAACCGTGGTCAACCACATGAGAGTCCAGCCACATAGCCATTACACCAATCGCTGGTCCCAAACACACACATTTTAAGGCCTAAAATTTATTTCAGTAAAATTAGCCCTTTTGGACCAGCCAGTGGTATGGTAGTTAAGGCAACTGGATCCCACATGGACCACTGCATGATTTAAAACAGGACCCAGCAGCTTGAAAAACACACCAGTCACTTGTCTGTGCATGTGGGTGCCCAAAGTCCTCACAGGAGAGGGAGATGATAGAGAGGGGATTGCAGCGTGACTGTCTGCATGGGGTGGGGGTGCTTTCTCACTTTCTGTCTCTCTCTCAAGTGAGCATATGCACCCTCTAGGAAATTAAAAACAAACCAACAAAACAGTCACTACCCACCGTTTGTTAATGCCAAGAAGCAATGCCTATATCAAACACCACACACTTTTTAAAACATCTTATTTACAATACTAATAATGCTCAAGATAACATGATTGGCATGGATTTTATTTCTATACTCCATAGAATTCATTTTTCCATTTTGTTAGAAAATTATCTGTCAGGGAGCTGGCAGGTGGCTTGGTGGTTAGGGACACTGTACTCTCTCATATGGCTGACTTCGGTTCAAGTTCCAGGACCTGGTGGCTTACTTTCTCAATTTCTCTACCTCTCCTCTGTTTCTCTCTGGTCAAATTAAAAAATAAGTCAATACATCAAGTTAAATGAAATAATTCTTTAAAAAAACATGAAGAAAATTATCTGTCTGGTTTTTAGTATGGTTACAGGACAGTTTCCTTTTGACGAGGGCACTAAATGACTGACTAAAATACACTTGTGGTGAGCACTTTTCTTTTAAAGAATTTGTTATTTAGTTTTATTTATCAATATTATTATTTTTAAAATTTGCTGCAGGGCACACACATGAGAGAGCAAGCGAGCGAGAGAGAGGGAGAGAGAGAGAGAGAGAAAGAGAGAGAATGTGAGAAAGCAAACCGCCAGGTCCAGAACTTGAACCATGGTTGCACATGTCACAGTCCAGCTCCTTAACCATCACACCACCTGCTGGCCCTTGTGGCAAGCACTTTGGATGCACTATTCAGTTATTCTTCCTAACAGTCTTATTAGGCAGGTATCTCATTATCATTTCTATTTCACAGATGAGAATACTGAGGCTTAGAACGATAGAACAATTAATGAAGTACCAGAACCAAGGCACAAACTTGGGCCAATCCCTAGCAGCCCTTTCAAGTACTGTTGACTAATACCTGCATGCTTACTAACATGCCTTTCATTTTCTGCTTCATTCCCCTTTGGACAACCTATCTGAAGACTCATGCTACTCTGATTATTTTTTTTTTTTTCAATGCTTTTTTTTTTTTTTTTTGGAGAGGTTTTCACTATAGGGCGCGTGCGCTTGCCAGACAGACAGACAGAGATATAGAGACAGAAAGCGAGAAATCACCCCCCGGGGGGGATGGTCACGCCGCAATCCCTTCTCCTCCATTCTCCTCTCGGGATCCTGGGCACGCACGCACACATGCCCGGCATGAGTTTTAAGCCACCAGGTCCGGGACGCGAACCGCGGTCGACTACATGGGAGTCCAGCGACATAGCCATTACTCTAACTGCTGGTTCCCTTCAATGCATTTTTTTAATTTCAAGAAAAACAGTATTATAATTAAGATTAAAAAAAAAGTTAAGAGAAATTTGCTTGAAACTTAAAGACAGGAAAAAGGTTAGGATTCAGTTCAAATAGTAGGTAGATGAACCTATCAACAATTCAAGAGAAGACAAAAATCCTTAAATATGGAAATCAGAGCATCAAAGAAAATAGTAATATTTTAGTCTAAAGTCAAAAAAATTCTGTTGCAGTAGTTCAGACTCATGTATTTAATCTCTCTTCTATTGAATTTGCAATGTTACTGTGGTCTGATCTTTCCATTTAAACTCTAGAAGTTAACATTCACCTCTAGACTTGTTCCTACCATGAGGTTGGCCATTCTCTTGGTTATTTTTTGTACTCTTATTTTGGCGTGTCCTGGTAGTTTTCCTGGTATAGCACTCCCATCAGCACTTCTTGGAGAGGTGGTCTGGTGTTGGTAAATTCTTTCAGGTTTTGTTTATCTGAGAATGTTTATTTATTTTTTCCCATGTGAAAGATAATCTTGCTGGGTATAGTATTCTTGGTTTGAATTGTTTTTCACTTAACACTTTGAATATATTTTCCCATTCTTTCTTTGCTTGCATTGTTTCCAGTGAGAGGTCCGACATTAGCCTTATAGGATATCCTTTGAAAGTAACTTGACAGTTCTCTCTTGCCAAATTTAGTATCTTGTCTCTGTCTGTGGTTTTGGTCAATCTGACCATGATGTGCTTTGGGGAGGATCTTCTTGGGTTGATTTTATGTGGGGCTCTTTATATTTCTTGGGTCAAGATATTTGAGTGCCTCTCTAGGTTTGGAAAGTTTTCTTCCAGGATTTCATGGCATAGATTTTCAATGCCCTTATTAGTGTCTTCACCTTCTGGGATACCGATGATCTGGATGTTTGGGCACTTAATTATATCTAGTATTACTCGTATGTTATTCTTTTTTTATTTTTCCTCAGTCTTTTTGGTGATTTTTCTAGGCCAGAGGTTCTTTCTTCTACATCTGAGATTTGATCTTCTGCAGATCTAATCTGCTTTTGATATTTTCGAGGGAAGTTTTGATTTCCCGTATTATAGCCTTTATCTCTAACAATTCTGTTTCTTTTTTATGATGCGAATCTCCTCTTTCAAATCATGCCAGAACTTCCTCACCTTCTGGAACTTGGTGTCTCTTTTCTCCTGCATCTTCAGGAATTCATTGTCTCTCTTCTCTTGCATCTCTGTTAGCTGTGTCACTATGGATATTTTAAATTATTTATCTGACATTTCTATGAGTTCCTTTGTATTCTCTGGATCCTGGTTAGATTTAGGGGGAGGGCGAAGTTTGGGTAGAGGGTCTTTGGTGGTCATAATCCCTGAATGGGGCTGCTCAGAACTCAAATGTGGATAGCTACTGATTGGCTTGTCCTGGCTCCTGGCTAGATATGGGGGCCAGAAAAATGAAGTCTCTCTGATTTTTATACCTTGTAGTCCTGTGATTAGAAACCTGTTGATTTGAAGATTGGCTCTTTAAAAAATATTTACTATATGTCTATAAAAAGGGAGTTTGTCTTAAAATTATATCTAAAACAAGAAATCTAAATCCATTTTTGGTGCATGTTAGGTATGTGGGCACCTTGATTTTTTTGACCATAGGAACTAGCCTTCTCCTTAAAACTGACAAGATTTTTCTGTTTTCTAGCAGACTCTGTCACTGTTTTATAAACATGCTGCTGCTCAGAAGATCACCACACCTTTGTTTCCTGGAAAAGGAAATGGCATTTCCTGGAGGGGACCGTGTGTGTGGGTGGTGAGGTTCCATTCATTACGTTAAGTACAATTGTGTAGTTATTTTTCCTCCTTCAGTGTCTGCCTTAAAGTTTCCTGGAAGCATGCTGAGTACGCAGTGTTGGGGCAGCTGCTTCATTGAGTTTGTGTCACCTGGGAAAGACATGATTCCGGTTTTGGATCCAGCAGCTCCCTTAAGAGCTAAGAAAGAAGCAATTCCCAAGTCATCTTCTTTCAGCTTGGAGTTCGGAAAAGGGAGCCTGAGACGTCACTTTATTTTGTTTGCTTTTGGGCCTCATTGGCCATTATGTTAGATACCCTTGTAGAGATCATCTCTTGCACCCTTGTGAGAGATTGACTTTCTCCAAGGGATTTTGGGTAGAAAGGAAAAGAAAGTGTTCTTATTTTGAGCCTCAGTCTGGAGAAGGATTGTATTTGGGGGGAAGTAGGATATGACAATTTGAATCCAGTGTTGTCTAACGAGAACATTCTGTCTTTGCAGAAAGTCACCACATGGAGGATGGACGTCTGGACTACGTACGTTATAAGTTTGGCCACACAGCTGTTCAGTTTCCTCAAGGCCTGCCAGCAGTTATTTTTAAAGTGGTTCACCTTAGTCCCGGAAAGGATCAACATGGTATGAGAGAATACTGATCTACCTTGGCCAAAGACTTGAGTAACACATGAAGTGAATTTGACAAACTTACTGTTTGTTAAAATAACAAACTTATTCTAGGACTCTTTGAGTCAAAATGATAAAGATAAAAACCAAAAAAAAAGAAAAATAATAAAACAAAACAAAACAAAACAAAAACCCAGGTATTTTCAATTCATAGTTTGAACAAGGGAAAAGGAGATTTTTTTTTTCCCTCACTTAAATTCAACTTCAGAGATTCAGGTGGGAAAGCATAATTAGAAGTTAGAAATTGTTATTGCCAGAAAAGAGCTCTAAGCTCTGAAATAAAAACTGGCCCTCCCCTGAGATAGTAAATAAATGTTGATAATAAGATTGATATCAACTCTTCTAAACCATGAGAGGGATCAGTGAAAGGGCAATGTAAATCTTACCTTGAGGTAAATGAGGAAAACTGTTCATAATATTTCTTTGAAAATTCCATTATTTGAGTTATTTATTAAGCATGCTTCATAATATTAAAGCTACCGTAAGTATCTCAGGCAAAGTAGAACATTTTGTCTCTTCATTTAAGGAAAATATGATGCTTAAATCTAATATTAGCTAAAATTTATGTGTGTTTTACTACATGTGTCAGAGTATGGTATTACACATTTCATTTCAATTATTTCATTTGATTCTTACAACAAATTCCTAGAGATGAACAATTCTCTCGTCATTTTTACAGATGGGACAGTGGAGCCTGACAGGGTAAACGGATGGCTTCCCAAACTCAGCTAACCTGGTGGGTGCTCATATGGTTTGATGGCTGGTCTGACCGATCCTCACATTCATACTTTTTGCCACCATACTCACAGAAACAAGGTAAAGCTGAAATTATATCCTGACTATAGATATGACAAGATAATTATGTATGTTTATGAATGTTTTGATAATAAATTCTGAGCACAAAAGAGTTAACACATGACTAGTTGACCAATGTGTAAATTATAATGTATCACAGTGCCTGCTTAATTGTCAAACCACAGAAGATAAAGCTCAACTTAATTCTAATAAGGCAGAACATTAAGAGTAGGAATTTTTTTGTTCCTGAGCATCAATTACTGGGTTGTCAGAAAAGTCAGGATGCATTTTTACACAGAAAACTATGTCATGACTTTTCTGACAAGCCAGTATTATCATGTTATCAAAGAACGAAATCGAGCATGATAGCATTCCTTTTATTTATTTTTATTAAGGTAGTGGACTGATAAAAACTCATTACCATTTCGTGTCAGTTATGGCTTCAGAAATCCTATAAGCACTGATGCATTTTTAAAGTCAGCACTACAGTGAAGAGACTGACTGCAGTGTAGTTATCTGAATTAGATTATGACTGATTCCATTTTCCACATTGTTTTGACATAGCTACAAGGTAACATGGTAACCTTCTGATACGTTGCTAAATTCTAAGGGGAGCATAGGTGTAAAAGTAAACAGTCCAGTATTTTAAAGGATTCACAAATACAGTCCTGGATTTGTGGAGCTCAGGGGTATTAGCGTAATGAGTATGGCTCACGTGGATATAAAATTTTACCTGAAATTAAAGAGAGATTAATTAGGCAATTTACAGAAACCATTTTAAAAATAATTCTCTTCCACCAGAAGTAAAGAAACAGGAACTTGAGAATCTGAATGACCATACATTTTGATGAGAAATCTTCCCCAGGAAGGATAATAAATCTAAGAATTAATCTGTGAAGCTAGAAGAAGTCAAGATGAAACCATGTATCATATTTATACATTTGATTATTAAATTTTACAATTTGATATATTTGCCCTAGGATTTGAAAATCTTTCAGTGAAAGCATGGTACTTTGGAGTGAATGACTTTATCTCTCAATCTCTTTTTAAAAAAGGCGAATACCACTCCTTCCCTCCATCACTATCTTACCTAGCCACACCCCTCAACACTTAATATATTGAGTTTTATTCTGCCATGAACACACATACACACTCTGTGAAGAGGGATTTTTTTTTTAAATCATGTTTTTCTTTATGATAGAATATATGTGTGTGTTGGGACCAGCAGTTGGTGTAATGGCTATGTTGGTGGACTCCTATGTAGTCAACCACGGTTTGAGTCCCGGATCCGTTGGCTTACACTCACACCGAGCGCGTGTGCGTGCATGCCCAAGATCCTGAGAGGAGAATGGAGGAGAAGGGATTGCGGCATGGCCATCTCCCCCCCACCCCAGGCGGTGATTTCTCACTTTCTGTCACTCTGTCAAAACTTCTTTGGCAAAAACCTCTCAAAAAATAAAAAAGGAGAATGTATGTGTGTACTTGAGAGAGCATGAGGAAGAGAGCGAGAGAAAAGCAAATGCACGCCCTGCAGGAGCCCTTCCTCCAGCCCCTCAGCCCGTGGAGTCCTGGGCTGTCACATGTGTACCTGGTGTATCTCAGGCTGACTAAGCTGGGCATTCAAACCACAGCCACCACGGAGTTCTGGCTTTTCCTGAGCATATTGTACAGCTATGCTACAGAGCCAGCCCAGGGGAGGAGTGTTCCTCATTTTACTTAAACACATTTTATACTGTGTAGTATATATCCTCTCAGGTTTCTTCCAGCTATAACATTCTGAGAATACACGTCAAATTAAGGAAAGTACTAATTGCCAGTAATGGGGAATGTATTGCCATTTGCTTCTAGTGGTCTTCACTGCTGATTTAACATAGTCACTGGTATAAACAAATTGTCAAATATGTGGAAAGAAATGATATACTGATAGCACCAGGAAAATATTGAATGATCATTACCTTTTTTCTTACATACAGCTTCCTTGACTGTATTGTAGTTTTAACTATTCAAGGAAAAATCCCCCCCCCCCTCAGTGGCTACAACAGTGGTCTGTTGAGATGAAGGTGATCATATCTGACTGTTCTGTGATCAGTCAGACACACCCTGTTTCATGGTCACAGTTTGTCCCCCAATTCAAGTGTGGCACTCTCGAAATAATTGTTTTTGGCCCTGAATGTCAAACCTCAAGAGTGGTTATTTCTTTCAATTTGTACTGGCTTACATGTAAGCATAGAGAAGCTGACATTTTCTCTTTTTCCTCTTCTTTCATTCCTTTAACCTGCCTCATTAGGCAGAAGCAGCAAACAGAAGACTAAGCTGTGTATCTGGGATTCAGCCTTTTAGGGAGCAGCTGTTTTGCCTTGCTTTTACTCAGTGAAAAATACAAGCCCCCAAAACCCTGTGTGCTCAGGACTCAAAGGAAATGCACTGTGATAATTCAAAAGTCAAAACCCGAAAACTGTATTATTTAAGTAATCATATCCATAATTTATATTTGTACATTTATGCAACATTAAAAATAACAAAAAAATAAGTGAGGAAAGCTTTTTACCCCTCATTTGAGAATCTGATGGAGACATAATGCTGGAAGATGAAATATATATAGGGCCTAAAATCAAAGATATAGTTATTTCTCTAAATAGAGTACAAATGTCATTTGCTCTTTCAAAAACCCTTTCTCCAAGTATTTATTTTAAAATGAATAAAAAAGAGGTGGTGGATATGCATATTACATCCTAGCAATTTTGCAGGGAAGACTGAATTTTGCAGTGAAGGCTTCCAAAATTCTTCGATTTCTCTAAACCTCAAGAAATGAATGATGAGCTTTTGATTTATAATTACCCATAATGGAGCCTTCGAATTGTAGATTTTCACATATATGACCTTACTTAATGCTCATAGCAATCATATTACATTTTACAAGTTAACAGTGAGGCCCAGGGAGGGTAAGTGATTTATCCAAGATCATAGAATAAGTGGGTGGAGAGCCAAGATCAGAAGCCAGGCCAAGTAAATTTGGAGCCTATATTTAACTGAATCTAGAGAATTCTAGTCACCAACTATGAAGGCTAAAAATAAAGTCCAAATTCTGCATGTAGATTTTAAAAAGTAATGTTTATTACTTTTCTGTTATGAAAGTTACACATTTACACACACACACACACACCACACCACACACAACAACTACAAATTAGATAATGAACAAAAAGAGTAGTCATAATTCCACATCCCAAAGACAGTTAACATTCTGGTATATTTTCTTATTTATTTATTTATTTATTTAACTTATGCATTATTTCTGGAAATATTTTATTTTAAATATAACTTTCTTTTTTGGAGAGGTTTTTGCTATAGGACACGTGTGCTTGCCAGAAAGACAGAGACAGACAGAGAGACACAAAGTGAGAAATCATCCCCCAGGGGGTATGGCCATGCTGCAATCCTTTCTCCTCCACTCTCCTCTCGGGATCTTGGGCACAAACAAACATGCACCTATGTGAGTTTAAGCCACCGGGTCCGGGACTTGAATCATGGTTGACTACATGGGAGTTCAGCGACATAGCCATTATGCTAACTGCTGGTCCCTATTTTAAATATAACTTTTACTGGTTGCCTGATTACAAAGTAATGAATACTCATCATAGGAAATTTGCAAAATGCAAAATGTCTATAATTTTTTAATTCTTTAAAAAGAAAGAATCTGAAAATACGAAGAGAAGTGTGAATAACTTAGCATGTTATTCTAGTTATGGCTGAGATAACATATCTTGGAGCTGAAGCCAAAATGATCTACATCATTAGAGTGTAGAGTTTAATCCATCAAATCCTCTTAAAAGTCATTTTGTTTTTACTTAATGTTTTGGTGTTTTATTTTTCAAAGATTTATAAATAGGATTTTTACACAAATGATTAGAATATTCTGGTTGCTCTGAATGGAACTAGCTGCCTTGGTTTTTAACAGAAGAATAAAAATTACTCACATATACACAAGAAAGACCATGAAGAAGGGATAATGATACTATTCAATTCTGCCCTTAAAACTCCGCAGAATGACTTGAATTCTTTTTCTTCAAATGCAACTTGTCTGACATGGTTTCCACTGCACAGCAAGAGAAAATCACCAAATCCTTGTTTACTAATTGGATCACGTGCCTTTAACTAGAGGAAAAGGCTTTTGGACAAGACTAAGGCAATTGATACTGAATGGCTAGATTAAGTAAATAAATGTGGCTGTTACATAAATTTGACAGTGCTGCAAAAACGTGGATTAAATTTTAATCACACTGAGAAAATTTCTGTCTAAGCCAAAGAAAAGAAGGTTGTTCCTTGAGAACTTTTACATCATGTGACTTGACCTGCCACAGGAACTGTAAGAGACTTAAGAAGGTTAAAAGACTTCTAGATAAAATTCAGCAAGGTGCAACACAATTTAGTTACTTTTCCTAAGAGCCTGAGTTAAGAAACCAAAACAATAAATGAATAATGCAGCCTTTAACCCTAAGTTCTTGAGGTTGTGGTCTCGGCCACATACAATATCGAAATACAGAAAAGGATTTTTCTAAAAACTCTTGTATTTACATCCCCAAACCTCTCTTCATTTACTTACTTTTTGCAGACTCACACCTCTTTTTTCTTTCTATTGCATTGGGATAGAATGGAGATCTCTTTCACAGTTCTAAACTTAAATGATTTCTTAGTTATGAAAAAAATGCTAAAAATTCTATGCTTTTCTTTGAAACTCTCTGGACATAGTGAGTCCATTATGTACATTATGGGGAGGGTGTGGAGAAAGTGGAAAGCTCATGCAAGCTCATAGTTTTGCAAAATTGCTTGGCAGTATCCACCAAAGCTGAACATATGCATAAGCAGTGACTCAGGAGTAGCATGGATACATACCCCACTGGAATGTGCACATATACACTAAAATACACATACAGCACACTAATCATAGCACTGTTCATCATCACTCCAAACTGAGAGCAACCCAAGTACCCACTGAATGTAGACTTCATATGAATATTGTACTTCTGTCAATAGAAGTGATTCAGCAGGTCAGCTGGTAGCATGGTGGTTGGGGCAGCTGGATTCCACATGGTCAGCTGTGTGGTTTGATTCCCAGACCCAGCGTTTTGAGGAACACACCAGGCACATGTGCAGACAATCCCAAAATCCTGAGAGGAAAATGGAGGAGAAGGGATTGCAGCAGGGTCATCCCCCTACAGGGATGCTTTCTCGTTTTCTCTCTCATGTGGGCACATATACCCTATAGAACATTTTTAAAAAGAAATGAAAAGGAAAAGAAACATTGCAGCAATGAACATGAACAAATTACCACTATTTGCCACAACATGAATGAATTCTACGAACCTGATATTGAGTGAAAGGAGCCAGGTCTGAAAGAATATACATCGTATGGTTTCATTTACATAAAGTCAAAAAGTAGGTCAAGTTAATTCATGGTATGAAAAGGATCAGTGTTATTAATTACATTTAAGGAGGCAGGTGGCAGGGTTTTTGGACAAAGAAGTAGGATGGCTAATGGGTGACATTTTATGACACGGTGCAGGGAGTGATTCCATAAGTACATCCACCTTGTAAAGGTGCATCTAGATGCTATTTGCATTTGTGTGCTTCTCTGTATGTGCCAACTCCAGTAAAAAGGTTATTTAAAATTTGATTATTGGAATATTGGGTTATTATTCATTTTTATTATTTATTTTATTAATAGTTTGCTGTAGGGTACCAGAGACAGATAGTGATAGAGGGAGATAGTGAGAAATTGCCCCCCCACACACACCCCACCCCAGAGGGGAAGGCCATGCCACAATCCCTTCTTCAGTCTCCTCTTGGGATTTTGGACATGCACACACAGGCACCTGGTATGATTTTTCAGGCCACCTGGTCTGGGATTCCAACCACGCACTTGGCTGTGTGGGGTGTGGTCGCCTTAACCCCCCATACCATCTGCTGGCTCTAGATGATTATATTTATAAACCCTTTTCTAGGGAGTCAAAAATAGGGCTAGTTTCTCAGGTAATGGAGAGCTTAGTGAGTGGAGATTAGGTGGCAGATGTGCTCATTGTCTTTTTTGGCTATTTAGGATGTCAACAAGTCATGCTTAATGATAGCATGCCCTGAGACAAGTCACTGGTGTTTTTCTGAATCTTATTATTTGATGAATGAAGTGGTTAGATGAAATGGTGTCTCCAGTCCTGGCAGACGCTCACTCCAGGATTCTAAGCTCCTCCTTCTTAATGAGGCTCTCTCCATGTCTGGTTTTCATTTTCACAACAATTCTCTTCCCGTCTCACCCCACCCCACCCCACCCAACCCCACATCTGTGCTGTGCTGTTTTACTTCTCTGCACATCTTCCCTGGTTTCCTAGCAGCAGGCCTTGTATAGAGCAAATAGTAATAATACAATAATAATAATTTGCTCTGTCAAGGCAAAAATTCAGTAAAGAAAAATTGGAATCTCACAGTATAACCAGTGGGTAAATGCCTCAAATTTTTATTTATTTTTTGGAGAGGTTTTTGCTATAGGGCGTATGCGCTCGCCAGACAGACAGAGAGAGACAGAAAGTGAGAAATCACCCCCCAGGGGGGATGACCACACCGCAATCCCTTCTCCTCCATTCTCCTCTTGTGATCTTGGGCACACACGCACACGCACCTGGTGTGAGTTTAAGCCACCGGGTCTGGGACTTGAACCGCGGTCGACTACATGGGAGTCCAGTGACATAGCCATTACACTAACTGCTGGTCCCAATGCCTCAAATTTTTTAAAAAATTGAAGTTATCCCCTCTTGGATAAAGCAGGGTATGCTGATTTCTAAAGGCAATCCAAACACAAAAAGGCACAAAGAACAAATGAGAATGATTATTTTGCTATTGCTATTGGGAATGTCTATGAGATGAAAGGATCAGCGAGTAACCATAAAATGTAAGTCAAGGAAAAAAGAATCATCTGGAAAATTTAAATTGGAGACTATTAAATATGATGTTTTAATGATAGCGGTCCTGTCAATAAAAAAATATTTCTAAGTAGTGTTGGTTGATAAGAATTTGTTAGCTTATGTTTTGAATTGTTCAGCTGTACTTATCTGCACTTCTTAAGGAGTTGGAAATATTGCTAAACTGCAGAAAGATAAGTCTTTCTTAGCTTGGTATATGAAGAGACTTCAAGCAGTTTGTGGAAAATTAAAATATGCTTATTTTGATGCAAAAATGTAAAAATCCATGCATAGTTTTATCATCATAATTATTTTTCATGAACTTTCTAAAGACCCCCCCCCACCTGCCATAAATATCATTTGGAACATACCCACTTTGCTTTATCATTTCTCTTTTTAAAAATTTCTTTTGTTTTGTTCACCAGGAATCTTTTTAATCGGCGGTTTGGTCTCCCAAGTGACTGGAACAATACTGGCTATTTTGTGTGACAGACTTTCTGTGGAAAAAACAAAAACTTTTTTGGGGCACTTTTTTCCATCATGTACTGATTACCCAGACAAAACTGAGCTTCTAGAACTGCCACATGCAGGGTGAGGTACTGGAATAGCAATCTTTTAAGAAGGGGCCCCTGAGGACTCATTCTCGACAGCCAGTTGTGCCAGCAGTCGAGAAGGGCACAGTCCAAGGTAGTGAAATGGACAGAGGAAGACTCCATGCCAGATTGGGCTGGGCCTCAGGCTGTTCCTTCAGCCTCCTCACGTGCCTATGTCTGTGGGGGTTAACTCCATCCTGTGAGGACAGAATGGCCATCGGTTTATATTCAGGTCCTGGGAAGATGTCTGGGGTTGCTGAGGAAATCTGAGAAATGGAAGAGTTTTCAAACTATGCTGTTCGAAGTGCATGGAAGCTAAGTTGTTTATTCCCAGTTCTCAGCCTTCAAGGATTACGTAATTTTCTTCCTTACCATCAACAGCAACATATCCTTAGAAGAAATGTCTCTCATGGACAGTTGAAGTTCCTGCTTGCCTGGTGCTCTTACTGGTGGTCACTGCATTGTACAAGTCTTTTCCCTCCAATGACTTATCTCACAGGTGAGAAGCAGCTTAAACAAAACCTGTGGAAGTTCCTGAGTAAGTGCTCGGTGTTACCCCCTTCCCTTTGCTGATGTCTGATCTATGAAAAATAGAGGCCATGAGGTAATGGTGGAAGCTTCTGGACCTCAGGGACCCAAGGCCCAAATTTATGATTGCTTTCATGTCTGGGCTGTACCATTGACAAGTCAAGTGGACTTGAGCAGAGAAGAGTCATATCACCTCTCCAGGTCTCTGTTTCCTCAGCTATCAAACAAAGAAATAAGTTAGATAAGGTCTTTTTCCATCTTTAAAAAATTCTTAAAGTACATTATAGCCTAACTGACAAATAGTTGTACTATTTTTTATCTCAAATGATAAAACATAACTTGTATTCAGCTGAGATTGATTGACTAAAAATGACATCTTTAATTTACTGGGAGTTATTGCTGTAGAAGCAGCAGTAAGACATTTCCATTTCATTATTCACCTTAATGTTTTCACTAAAACACATGTGGTTTTCAAACACAGGAAAGAAAACATGGTTACCTGTGGTTATAATTTCCACTAGAAAATAGAAAAAAAAATGTAGCTCAGAAAGAGT